TTAGGAAACTAGGGATTTGAGAAAGGAGTGTTTGTTTAAGGGTAAGAGGAAAGGAACACCTGTGGCAAAGGCAGTGTAATCAGGAAATACATGGGAAGCCTGTGCGATTGGAGGTTAGTGAGCAAGTGGATGAGGCAGCAACTGATGTAGAAGAAAGGTTGTTGAGAGCTTTTGAAGAGGGTAGTGTGGTTACATATTCAGATTAATGTTTGAAACAGTGGCTTTGACTGTTGTGTTGAGAAGGACTGCAAAGGCTATATGCATGTACCCAGACTGAGTCCAGGGAGAGATATGGTGGTCTGGACCAGCATGTTAGGCCTGGAGATAGGGAGGAAGTCAAGTAATTATTTTGGAGCTTGAGTTGGCATTACTTAGTGAGAATTGGATTTGACGATGAAGTATGAATGAGACGTCAAGGATGACTCCTAGATTTCTTGATTGAATTGGGTGGGGATAATAGTCCTTATTAATGAGATTTTAGGGAATGCTGGAGAGGAACTTATTTGGAGGGAAAGATCAAGAGCTGTTTTGAAGATATTTTCTCTGTGGATTCTTTTCCTGTACTCAGAACTCTCACCGGCCCATGATTCTGCTGACAACTGCCCTCCCATGAAATCATTCTATAGGTCTTTCTCCCCATTTCTAGGACAGCACTAAATTGTGCTCTTGTGTCACCTGACTTCTTTTAGTATTTAGCTGTTTTATATTTATTTGTGTACTTGCTCATCTCCCTCATCAGACCGTGATTCCTTCTTTAAGCATTTTCCACTGAATTTTGTACTAAAGACTTCCTTCACTTAAATCTGGGCAGTGTTGGTATAAGTTACTGTTTCTGTACTGTAGAACAGCTTATATTTTCTAATGTGGATTGGAATCTCTGGGAAGAGTATTTTCCTAAATTGTTTAGTTTCCCACTTTTATCTCCCCCAGCTTTTGTTTTCTGAGCATCTCAGGTTACCAGTGCTGAAGGAGGGTGGGAATAGGAGCATTCTGTGGGAAAGGCTGATTTGGACATGAACCTGCCCCTGAGCAGGCGTGAGAGTCACTGAGCATGGACCACACGTAAAAGGTGGAACTGCCTGCTGTTGAAGAATGGCTCTGGAAGCTCAGGAAGCTCATTTTGCCTGGAGTTGCTACAGACCTATTTCTTTTACCCTCAGTGATCAAAACAAACATCAAGGGATGAGAATTTACTGCCTATTGTTTGTTCTTGCAATACTACTAATTTTTGTAGTCTTGCCAGACTACAAAATGATAGGTGGCATAAGGTGTCAAATTTGTTCTGTTTTTTTTTTTGTAGCTAAGCTGAAAATTGCTGAAAGAAAATTCTTTGTGGACTGGTAGAGTGTGGTTCAAGTGGTAGAGTGCCTGCCTAGCAATCATGAGACCCTGAGTTCAAACCCCAGTGCTGCCAAAAAAGAAAAAAAAAATTCTTTGATTCTTTCTCACCCCCCCACCAGTCCTCTAATTTAATTCCTGACATGAAAATAATATCTGTACCACCAAGTTATTCATTAAATAAAGTTGTATTAGCAGCTGTTTTTGTATGTGTGTGACAGAAATGTCTATTTATATTCTGTTTGAAAGAGATGGCTATTGTGGCATAAAACCTAGGTTTCAGGGAAATAAAGACAAGATAGACTAAATGGGGAAGATATTTTTTTTCTTTGAAGAATACATGAATTTATTTGAGAGGGAAATTTTTCTTTTCTTTTTCTCCTCAAAACTTACAGTGCTCATGATAGTTTATTTTTAGAGTGGAACCCTAGTGGAATGTTTTATCGGAAAGTCACAGTTTCAAGCAGAAAATAATTTGGATTTTTTTTGGTTTTTATTTTATTTATTTATGAACTCAGGGCCTGGTGCTTGCTAGATGGGTCCTTTGCCACTTGAACCATACCCCCAGTGTCGTGTTTTTGCCTGGGCTGGCCTCAAGCAGTGGGCCTTCTATCTATGGCCTCCTAGCACAGCTTATTGATTGAGATAGGATTTTACTTTTTTCACTGGGCTGGCCACAAGCTGCAATCCTCCTACCTCTTGAGTAACTGAGATTGCAGGTGTGAGCCAACCCAACCAGCCTGTTTTAAACTTAGATTTTATTTTGTAGTGCTAAATGGCATTATTTTGGGGTGAGGGTTTTTGTTTTTAAATAAAAAATATGGTATTTTTTATTAAAATCTAAATATATAAAGTATTGAAGGGAATTAAATTTCATCAAATAGGAATTAGAATGAGGTACTTTGAAACTTTGAAGAACATCATTCTTGACTTACTGTATTATTTTGGGTTTGTCTATATTTTTAACACATATCACTAAATATTCAGGTAATTCTCATTTTTGGCAGATTCTGTATTTATGAATTCACCTACTTGCTTAAATTTATTTATAACCCTCAAATCAATTAATCAATTCTCCATGCCACGTTCATGGTTAGTCACGGACATGTGCAAAAAGTGACAAAATATGAACGTTTCTCAGTTCATATTTAATAAGGGTATAGTCTGCCTCCACTTCAGCTTTCGGCAAGAGTCCTTGTCATGGTCTATTTAGTATCTTTTTTTTTTTTTTTTTGCATTTTTGTTCTGTTTGTTAGGGATTTCAGAGTTAAAATGAACCCTAACTATAGTGCTGGAGAGCTGTTCATAGTTCCTAAGCACAAGGAGGATATAGTGTTCCTCATGGGAGGTTGTGTGGCTATGTAGTACTGTGGGCCAGAAATTCAATGTTAATGAATTAACAACATATTAAATAAGGTGGGGTTCTTTGGTTTTTTTGGTGGTGCTGGGTTTGAACTCAGAGCCTCATGCTTGTGATACATGTGCTCTCCTACTTGAATAATGTCCCCAACCCCTTTTTGCTTTAGTTAATGTTTGAATAGGGCCTCACATTTTTGCCAGCAGCCAGCTTTGAGCCATTATCCTCCTACCTATGCCTCTAGTGTAGCTGGGATTACAGATGCACACCACCAAACCCAGCTTATTTATTGAGATAAGATCTCACTAACTTTTTGCCTGCACTGGTCTCTGTGATCCTCTCACCTGTGCCTTCTAAATAGCTTTGATTACAGTGTACACTACATGCCCAGCCCTTCAATGGCTTTAAATACCTTAAATTGTTGTTATATACTTCTAGAGAAGTGGAGATCTGAAGGATCCTAGTTCAAGGCCACCCTGGACAAAAATGTTAGCTGTACCCCTCTCACCCAACAAGCCAGGCATGGGTAATGTATGCTTCTAGTCCCAGCTAGAAGAGGTGTAAATAGGAGGATAGTGGTTTAGGCGAGCCTGGGCAAAAACATGAGAAATCCTATTAAGAAAAATAACTAAAGCAAAAAGGGCTAGATGAGTGACTCAAGTGGTAAAGGGTCTGTCTAGCAAGCACTAGGCCCTGAGTTTAAACTCCAGTACCATCCTACCCTGCCCCCAGAAAAAAAAGATGTACAGTGTTATATGTAAGATGTATAACATTGAGTATTAATGAATAAAAAATAAATATGGTATATTTAAATAGTATTGATCTTCCAGTGATACTGTAAAAATGTGACCAGAGTTTCACAGAAATGTAACCCTGCATTAACTCTGGAAGCAACAGCTCAGTGGTCAGTAAGTCAGTGCTCACAATGACTGTGGAGCACAGCTTCTGCTAATAACAGGAATTCACTATAATATGTGCTTATAAGTGTATACGGGTGTGTGGTATGTGTGTGTGTGTGTGTGTGTGTGTGTGTGTATATATATATATATATACTCTTCCTTTCTTTTTTAAATTAGTGTATAGACATTTCATTATAATATTTCTCTGCATGCATATAATGGACTTTGATTATATTCACCTCCTCTATTACTCTTTATCCCATACCCCTCCTTTAGAGACAATTTTAACAGGTTTCATTATTCTATTTTCATATATGCATGTAAGGTATTTTGATCCTTTTCATCCCCACTTAACCCTGTCCTTTTGCTATCTCCCTTCTACTGGTTCCCACCTCCAAACATTCCATTTTACACTCATGTCAGTTTTTTGTTTTTGTTTTTTTTTATGGTCTTGATTCCACACATTATTGTGTTATATTTATTAACAGACTAACTCAGTTATTGTTCTGGTAGTTTTGTGGAGTGGATGGGTGCCTTTGCGTGATAAATTTTCTTTAGCTATAGAACTAACAATAAATTAATATGGTAGTTCTTTTCATGTATTTTTGAACAATGTAAAATGCAGCCTAGATTAAAGGGTTAAGATGTCATAACCATATCTACATCTATACTCCACAAGTTAATTAATTTGTTTTCATTTACTTGCTTTTCCTCCTATTGTCACCCGTATTTATTTTCAAATTGGAGAAGCTTAGGATGACAGGGGAAACTTGATCTTTAGTCCTGTACCTGTTAGAGGTTATTAAACTCGGCCATCAGTTTAACACTCCCTTGGCTTTCAGGGCTAGTCTTCAGAACTGAACCTCTGAGGTCACCAACAAGAACAGATAAGAGGACTGATGAAGTGACTGAAGTGGTACAGCAACTGCTTAGCAAGCATGAGGCCCTGAATTCAAACCCCAGTACAGTGTCCCCCCCAAAATAAATAATAAAGTCAGTATTGGGAAAAAAAAAAGCACATAAGATTTCTTTGAATAAGATTTTACTTTTTCTACATATTTTAAGAAATGCCTGAAGAAATGAAAAATAACTGAATATACTCTGAGCACCTGTGTTAGAGCCTGTATGCTAAAGTGTGGTGACTTTTTAGCACAGAAACAGCTATAATTTTGTGGCTTCTTCCTTAGATATCAATCCAGTTTTCTCAGTGCTATATATATATCTCTGCACAGAAATTATGGTGTAAACTTGTCTAGCTCTGGTCATCTTTAGTTGTGGATTCTGTTGGAAAAGCCCCAGCAAAGGACGTATTTTTGTATACTTCACTCTGTACTGTGAGATTCTAATACAACATTAATTGTGCAGGAAAGTCATTCTAATTATAGAAACTCCTGTATTTATTTCAGGTCGATCTTCTCTCTTTCCATTTGAAGACGCCTTCTTGGACGATAGCCATGGTGATCAGGCTTTGTCATCTGGCCTAAGTTCTCCCACTCGCTGTCAAAATGGGGAACGAGTAGAACGCTACTCTAGAAAGGTGTTTGTTGGAGGTCTTCCTCCTGACATCGATGAAGGTACTATGATTTCATTAATGACTTTACAAAAGCAGGGTTTGTGCTTGTTGTCCAAGTCAGCTCTATCTTAATGTGTGTGGGGGAGAATATCTGAATATTGAGAAAGTGATAAATCACGTACTTCAGGCTTATTGTTCCTGTTTGGCAATGCACTAGTCTCCTAGAAGCTTCTCATTTTGGTATATTTTAAAATAATGAGAGCTAATGCTTTTGAAACTCTTACTGTAAGACTAATATTATGCTGAGTACTTCATAGTGCATTATCTCATTTAATCCTAATAACTGTTTTATGAGGTACATCCTACCATCTCTGTTTTGTACACAGAGAATCTATACAGGCAGTTAAAACTCAGTCAGCCTGACCACAGAGCCTTTGTACGTGCCCACTGCACCCTCAGGGTTTAATACACACATCTATTTAGGAAGAACACATTCTTCCTCTTAACCTTTAAAAGAATGAACACAAACTAGAATTTTTCTTAATAGTGTTTTTGAGATATTACCAGTCCAAAAGAAAAGTGAGTTTTCATGTATGCCTAAAGCCAGTTAAAGTATTGATTTTAGCACATCATAGGTTGGCAATAAATGTTTGTTGAATGTATGAATGAAATGAAATTATGACAAAGTCAACTTAAAGGAAAAAAACAACTCTAATTCCAATAGGTTTGGATCTGCTATGGAAATATTAAAAACAGACTCGTTTTGCCATCTTTTCATGATGAGAGGAGAAAAATCTCTAAAAATAGTTTTATCTTAGACTTACTACGTTAAAGTTGTACGCAATACCCCCAGACCTTTTATGATCTATTTATTTATCTGGGCTTGAACTTAGAGCCTTCTCCTTGAGCCACCTGCCAACCCTTTTTGTGATGGGTATTTTTGAGAGAGGGTCTCTTGAACTATTTGCCCAGGCTGGCTTCTAACCACAATCCTCCTGATCCCTGCCTCCTGAGTAGCTGGGATTACAAGCGTGAGCCGCTGGCACCTGGGTTTAGTTATTTTTTTAATAAGGTCTTGCATTTTTACTGGGGCCAACTTGGACAGTGATCCGAGGAACTTGTGAACTTTTTGCATGGGCTGGTCTCAAGCCATAATCCTATTTCTGTCTCCCCAGTACTTGGGATTACAGATGTGAGCCACCATTCCCAGTCCTTACAATTTTTGATACATTTTATACCTCACAAAGTGTGTTGTATAAATACGAGAGACAGAGACCATTGGGTTTTGAACATTTTCTTATTGTCAGATAGTTACCTTCTATTGCCTCACTTCTCATCAAGAGTCATATAATAATCTAGCGATTCCATATAAATGAAACTGTATTTCAAATACTTTCAGTACCTTTGCCTTTTTTCTAAAAACAGAAAACATTCCTATTTTTATTCTCCTTTTTATTTCACAGAGTTGATCTTAGCTAATACCAGATTTTTCTTACAAATTCTTTATGTCAAGTTTAAGGAAACGAATTATAGTTACAAGCACGCTTTGCCCTGGTTAAAAGTGAATAACCAAATGCACACCCATGCAATGGTATTTCACTTTGTCCATTTAACTTCTGTAAAAGCACTTTAGAAAATATCCCTAAAACCAATTTTTAAATAAAAAGACATGTTTTGTGCTCTTCTGACTGCAGTTTTTTCCCTTTTGCCATCGTTCCTTCTGTTCTATAGATGAGATCACTGCCAGCTTTCGCAGGTTTGGACCTCTCGTGGTCGACTGGCCTCACAAGGCAGAAAGCAAGTCGTACTTTCCTCCTAAAGGTAATGACTTAAAACGTCTCATGCCTGCTGGTGAAGATGTTCAGTGTAAGGCAGTCTGTAGTTCCTGAAATAGCTGTTGCCTTTTTTCCTTCAGTAGGAAAACATTTAAACACTGATGGCCATTTGGATATTATGAGGCTCTTCCTCCAGGCACACTGATTGGTTCATGGTCCCATTTCACTGACTCTGTGATGCTGTGAATCTGTTACGTATATGCCTTTTATTAACTTTTTGTCTTTTGACAGAAATGGTTTAGGGTTTTGAGGAATGTCAACAGTGGCAAAGATTGTTTCAATGTTATTTGTGTTTCCTAGCCCTGTGGTTTTATAAATCTTACAAGCCCCAGACTTGGCAAATCTAGTGAAATTGTCTTTATCCACATCTGTCTGTCAAGTGACTTAGCCTATTTGGAGTAGAGGGTACTCAAGCAAAAGCTTTTTCACATGATCTTTCTCTTACTTTTGGAAAGGCCTTTAGATAATTTATGAGAGGATGAAAAGATACTATTTGTCTGTTCATAGTTCCTCATCTCTGCAGAGTCCAGGGAACTTTGCTCTGGCACTCAATCTGGGTGTGTTCCTAGGTTTACACAGAAGAGTGTTTAGGATTTAAGAGCATTTTGTTCTGTGTTTATATTATGTACTAGATTTCAGGGATACCTGGATGATTTTTTGATGTATTATTTTATAGCAATACTCCCCATAAGAAGAGGAAGTCAAAATATTTGTCCTTCCAGTGCCTTGTACAGAATTAGAGTTTAACCTGAGGAGAGCTAGTGTTTTCCTTTTATATCTGGTTTGTTAGGTTTCTTTGTTACTTATACTTCTCCCTATTCTATAACCAGGGAAAAAAGTTGCTTACCAAGTAGAGGGCTGTTTGTTTGCTCTGAACATTCTTTTGTTAATTCTCTTAGAAAAAAACATTTTTTGAGATAGTTTTGCTATGTAAGATACAAGGTTGGCCTCTTTTTTTTTTTTTCATTTTTCTTTTATTATTCATATGTGCATACAAGGCTTGGTTCATTTCTCCCCCCTGCCCCCACCCCCTCCCTTACCACCCACTCCACCCCCTCCCTCTGCCCACCCCCCAATACCCAGCAGAAACTATTTTGCCCTTATTTCTAATTTTGTTGTAGAGAGAGTATAAGCAATAATAGGAAGGAACAAGGGTTTTTGCTGGTTGAGATAAGGATAGCTATACAGGGCATTGACTCACATTGATTTCCTGTGCGTGGGTGTTACCTTCTAGGTTAATTCTTTTTGATCTAAAGGTTGGCCTCTTAATTTGTGATCCTCCTGCCTCACCTTCCACTGGTTGGGATTATAGATCTGTACTACCATGCCCGGCTCAGAAAATTTTTACATTAGAAAATTAATTTTATATTAATCCAAAAATATAAAAACCATCATGCTGATTATTTCAGTAAAAGAATGTGTTTACGACCTCGTGGCATATATACTTATACTATATAAATATGAGTGTAAAAGATGTTTTTAATGATAATCAGTATTTGATGTATCAGTTTTTTTTGAGTGAGTGAATACATTTACCACTCATGGGACATATAATACATTCTATAAAATGATATATATAAAAGTTATTTCTAAGGAATAATTGCAAAAAAAATCACCATGCTGAGAAATTATAAAAATTATTTTGGCAGGGATGGGAGCATGGCTCATGGTAGAGCACTTGCCTAGCAAGTGTAAGGCCCTGTGTTCAAATCCTAGTACTGCAAAAAAAAAAAAAAGAAACTCTGGCATAAAAGGGGTCAGATAATCATTGTGAAAACAAAAAGGAAGATAGACATGTATATACTCATGTCCAAAGAAAATGATCCCAAATCTATCTCTGGGAGAGATGATCACTGTGTACATTTTGCTAAATATCCTCTTTGTGAATACACACATTTATGTGAAATTTAAGATTTTATATAAGCGGATTACATTATACATGCTATTTTATAACCTGTACTTCCCTGAAATGTTAACATCTTTCTATAACAAATCTGTGCTACCCTTAATGAATTTAGTTTATTTAATCAGTCCTGTTGATGGTATTTAAGTTGCTTTCTCTCATAAATCATGCTTCAGTGAATATCCTTGTTTATCTTTTGATCCCTTTTTCCCCCAAGTGCTTGTGATTGAACTCAAGGCCCTATGCACATCAAGGCAAGTGTTCTGCCACTAAACTACACCCTCACCTCCTGCCTTTTTGTAATTACCTTTCAGGGTGAATTTCTTAGAAGTGAGATTATTTATATAGATTGCCAAGCTGCTCCTAAGAGGATTCATACACATTTATGTTTCTGTTAGTAGTACTCAGTTTGCAAAACACAGGTTTATTGATGGCCTAGGGAAATTACTCCTTTTTAATTTTTACCAATTTGATGGTTAAAATAACACTTTTTCATTTATTTTCCCTTATGGTCAATTGATTTTCTTATCTTGTTAAATATTACTTTGTCCAATTTATTTTGGGGTATTTGTCTTTTTTGCAAAGGCTTCTTTTTATTACTAAGGTTTTAAGAGCACTTTGACCTACATTGGAAATATTCCCTCCCATTTGTTACTTACTTTTCTACCCTGTTTAATGTTTTTTTTGCAGTGCCACCACTAATTTTTATGTAAGTAAATTTACTGGTCTTTTTCTTTATGCTTTCTGAGATTTGTTACATGCTTTAAATGGTTTTTCCACTGCAAGAGGAAAAAAAAAAGCTTTACACGTTTTTTTCTGTTGCTTTTATTATTTTTCTTTATACATTGACATCTTGTTTTGGTCTGGAATTTATATTGGAGTAAGGCACAAAGTAACCTAGGTGTATCTTTCCCAAGTAGCTGGCCGTTGGTGGCAGTACTGTTTACTGGTTAGTCTATTTTCCCCTTGTTAGTTTAAATTGCTAGAATTAACCTGTTACGTGTCTCAACTGAATGTTCAAGTTTCTTGGGAGCCACCTGTAGCTAATTGAGCACTTGAACTGTAACTAGTTTAAATCCACATATGGTGTTAAGTGTAAAATGTATAGTGATTTCAAAGATTTGGGTTTTGTTGTTAATGTAGAAGATTTCATTAGCAGTTTTGTTTATATTAGATCAAATAAAATATAATTAACCATACCTGTTTCTTTTAAAATATAGGTACTATTTTAAATTGCATATGTGACTCAGTTCTATTAGATAGCATTCCTTCAGAGCCAGAAAATGACCCATTTTGGCATGGGCTTGAGCTAAGGATAGTTTTAATATTTTTAAAGGGTTATATGTGGCCCACAGATTCCTTTACAGACTTGTTGACTCCTGTTGTGAAATATCCCATGAAATTACTCAGCTTCTGAAGCATCCAGTTGAGAAGATAGGCAGTTTCAGAGGAAGTCTATGCGTCCTTGTTGATTTTCTTTTCCCTCCCTTCCTCCCTTCCTTTCTTATTTATTTGTTTGTTTTTTGGGGGGGTGGGTTTTTTTGAGACGTGGTCTCACTAAGTAGCCAAGGCTGATCTGGAAATTCACTATGAATGTAGTGCAGGTTGGCCTTGAGATCGTTGGGTCTCAGCCTCCCAAGTGCTGGGATTGCAGGCACATGTGGGCCACCACACCCATCTAAGTACTTTTCTCTGTCATGTGAAACGAATGCCTGCAAACTTTGTTGGTCCAGTGGAGTTTTATAAAGCATTACAGACTAAGTCATCATTGTGACATTTATCCCTTAGTACTTTCAGTTTTTTTCCAAAGTAAATATTTTTGCTTCTTTGAGTCACACTTTATATCCAATGGTTTCTGGGTCACCATTCTTGCCTACCTTCTCTGTATATATGTTACATTTATAACATCCTACTTAAGTTTATTACTGGGTATTGAAGAGAAATGTTAGGATTGGTCTGAGTACTACAGAGTTTAACAACCCTACAACAACCTCATGGCTTTTGGAAATACTCCACTATAACAGCATAATAACATAAGACTAACTGTAGGGCATTAGTGCTGGTGCCCTAATTTCCTAGCTGAGATTAAGTGTTGAGATGGACCTGTGAGAGGCCAAATAGAAAGTATTCCTGATTCTGGTTTTCAAGCTTGTGTCCTCTGAGAGCAGATTGTCTTTTTGGTGATTGAGGTCAGAGAGGAGAAATAATTATTAGACAATTGGACCCTGTTGTGTTTTGCTCTCAGCTAAAGTCTGAAGGTTGACCTATTTTGGGAGAACCTAAAGAAATTTGGTATTACTCCGAGACTAAAGTAACTTTGAGAATTCTTATCCATCATTTATAATGTTGGAACATCTAAGTTGTTCACCTCAAACCGTTTAATGCCTTCCTAATAATGCTACCTTTTGCTGATTGTACTGTTCCTTAGGTTACTAGGTTGGTCCTGTGCGTTTTTGGCTTCTGTGTACATAAAGAAAAAAACATGAACTGTGAGCCCTTTGGCCTATCTGTTAGAAAGTATATAGTGAAAAAGTCAGAGTCATCCATTCATTCAGCAGGTTTACCTGTATAGTTTTGAAGCAGGGTTTCTAAAACCATTACCCTTTTCAGTGGATTGTGAAGTGTTTAAAATCCACGTAGAGAAACAGTGGCCAGGCACATCTGCTGTTGTTGGGCCAGCAGAGTGGGAAGTGATACAGTGGTGCTCACTGCAGCACTGCCACCAAGGCCCTCTGGATATGCAGAGTCTCCAGGAGCAGTTTGTCTGTGGACAGAAGCCAGTGAACTCTTGGTGCTCTCCAGAGCACCACCAAGAACATGGAATGTGTGGAAGTCAGAATGTCTGTCTTTATGATGTGGTCCCAGACCCCACAAGATTATATTCCTGGAGGAGATAAATATAAGCAGTTAATCAAATAGTCACAAAAACAAATATGATCACAGACTGTGATAAGTGCCCTAAAGGAAAAATAAAGAGTGCTGTAGAGACTCTAAAAGGGGCATCCATTTAGATTGGGGGTATGCAAAGAGTTGCTGAGAAAATGGCACTTAAAATTGAGGGGTTAGCTATAAAGTACAGGGAA